GGTGATTTGTATTTAAGAGTTTGGGTTTTGGGGTTAAGAGGAGGCTTCGTCGGAGTGAGAGAGCTGAGTCAGCTCTCCACAGGAAACGCACGTCTGTCTCCACCGGCCTAAAGAGAATAAACTGCTGTTTACCTGTGTGTGTGTGTGTGTGTCTGGTAACACACTGGGCTGCTGTTCCTTCAATCATGGTGCACCATCAAGGTTTTTCCCAACATGGAGGCATTTGTCATGTTCAGCAGCTTTGAAGTGAAACTGTTTACTTCTTGTTAAATGGGGTCAGTCGTAAAAGTCATTTCTGATAATCCAACGATTAGAAAAAAAAAATGGAAAATGCAGATTTCTGTCAAACAAAGAAAGACACTCAGAGATTTTTACAGTAAGAGGATCAAAGCTGTCGCCCTTCTGAGCCAGGAAAACCTCGGATCATTTGTTTCACTTTCTGTTTTCTTTGCCTAATTTAGAAGAAAAACATGTAAAAGAAGACTTTAAACAAATCTAATGTAGCTTTGTGCACCAAGACCAGCACAGAAATCACCTCGTCCTTCTGTTCGATCAGCTGATTTGCATGTGTGGTGTCTCACTCTGTGTCCTGTCCGTCTCTTCTCTTTGTTGCAACAGATGAAGCTGCCGGTGCTGCTGCTCGGTCGCTCGGCAGACCTTCGTCCCGGCGAGTTTGTGGTCGCGATAGGCAGCCCCTTCTCCCTGCAGAACACCGTCACCACCGGCATCGTCAGCACCACCCAAAGGGGAGGCAAAGAACTTGGCCTGCGCAACTCAGACATGGATTACATCCAGACTGATGCCATCATCAATGTAAGGGAAGGGACAAAGTGTGTGGGTCTTATCAAGTCTGAAAAACATCTCTAATAATTCAAATTTAAGCGTTAGAATAATTTCAAAAAGGGAGACATATTTATATACTATACATGTAAGGAAGAAATGAACTGTTACCAGTGCCTAAAATCATGCATTTCACCTGAGGGCCACCAGATGGCGATAGTTGCAAAGGATCTCTGGTCCTATAGAAGTCTATGTTAGCCTGACCTCTGTATACAGTTACTGCTAACTTTATGAGCTCGGTCATTCATCATGGGTTCACAGTTTGACCCGCCCCTCTCGTCACATGATGGCCACAGTAAAAGAAACACTAGTCCTGAGGCTTCAGAGCTCTTCAGAAACGGCGGATAATGTTGCCTCAAGTGGCCACTAGAGGAAGTGCACTTTCCAAAGCTTCTATGTTTTCGTCATTTTTCAGCCAGGGAGGTCGCTCTTAACTCTTTCCCCCACAAAGACGATATATGAAGACCTCCCCTGCACCCTTAATGACACCTCAATATGTCAATAAGGATGCATTTTGATAACCATTACAATAGGAGGGTTGCTGGATAGGAAGAGGCCACCCTCAGCATCCTCCGATGCACACCCAGTCATTTTGTTCTATGAGCAGGTCTGAAATATGACAGAAACCGCTCAGAGCTGCAAAAGTTTCTCCTAGTAAGCTTTCAATGGGTAAAGCATTAAATAATAGTTTTAATAATATTCACTGAATTCACGTTAACTGTTTGCTTGTTTGTTTTCTTGCAGTACGGCAACTCTGGAGGACCACTAGTCAATCTGGTAAGTGAAGCAGAAAAAGTGAGATGACCTGTTTGAGCTGTGTCCGTATCATTAAGAATGATATCTGTGCAGCAGAAACTGAGCTCTGCATTTACCTGGACCACATCCACGTGTTGCAAAACGGAGAAACACATAACCTCATATAAATAAAGACCAAGAAGCATAAAGTCCTTATTAGGAAAGGTAAATAAAGAGTTTAGGTAACGCTTGGCGCAGGGTCCCGGTCCACAGCTGACTCTGATTAGAAGCTTGTTTTCAGTCAGCCACAGAAAAAAAAGAGGCGTCAGATTGGCTGTTTCACAAGCTTCATGTGGGACTCTGGCTTTTACTGAGAAACGCTGGCAAATTAAAGTTTGTTCCCGTGTGTGTGCTGCAGGATGGGGAGGTGATCGGCATCAACACTCTGAAGGTCACCGCAGGAATCTCCTTTGCCATCCCCTCGGACAAGATCAGACAGTTCCTGGCAGAGTCACACGACAGACAAGCTAAAGGTTTGTAGCAGTGTTATCACAGAGCTGACGTCAGAGAGGCCAAAGAGAGCAAGACAACGTGGCACAAGTCTCACATGCTCGAACACTCACAAAGCTGTGGATCCAGCCATATCCCCTCATAATTTACAAAAAGTAGACAAATGTCTCTTTCAGTTACAGAGAAAGACCCGTGCAGTTTAAAAAGCAATAAAAGCTCAACACAGATGAAGAGAAATTCCTAACTGCTGTGAACATGCAGTAACAGAGTTATATTAGGGATGTTGAGGTCATTCCTTATAAAATCAAAATAAACGTTCACACCTGAAATCAGATTTTTTAAAACTACATTTTCAGCTCAGATTTACAAGGAAACACTTCTTTATGAACTAAAGTAGTTTTGTCATGTGATATAAGGGTTAAGGTTTCTCTCCGTTGTTCAGCTGCAGTAATCATTCATTACTTTTAAATTGAATCCAAGTTTATTTAAATGGCATCAAATCACAGCAGTTCTGTCATCATTTGGTGAGAGCGTGTGGACGTCCATGTGCCTGCTCAAGCTTCTCCGGGAAGAATTTTCATTACAATGCACAAGCACGCACAACACGCCCCCACGAGCAAGCATTAGGTGACAGTGGGAAGGACAAACTCCCTTTTAACAGGAAGAAAGTAGAACCAGGCTCAGTATTTAAGAGGCGAGAGGAAAGAGACAATAAAAAGGAGAGTGTCGGGAACCACAGCTAGAGGATGAGCCTGGGATTAAATGTGGGTAAAAGGAGACCATATAACTTATTTTGACGCCCACCTATCCCAGGTGGAGATGAGAGCCCTGCAAGTTTTCTCCAGTAAATGCCCAGAGAGCATCAACACTTATTGTTATCGCTCTAAGAGACCATTTTTTTGCAATTTAGCTTTGAAATTACAAACAAAACCCAGATTTTGTCTCCTTAGATTGAAATACCAAAACTGGATCTAAAATTGACTTGAGTACAGTTTTTAAATAAAGCTTAAAATCTGTTTTTCCAGCCCAAATAGTTTCATGTGGACATCTGTGGATTTTAGCTGCTGTTAAATAAATCTCAGTTTATTTTCCCCCTTGATGAAGTTTGTTTGATTCGGTAATCATGCTCGGGTGCGGACCAAAACAACTGCACCGAGACAACTAAACGTAACTCCAGAGTGGTTCGCTCATGGCCAGAACGTGATCTGACCAAACTGTCAGCAGATTTGAGATTTGAAAAACACAGCACCTTTATTTCTCTCACCCCGGACTGATTTAGCCAATAAGAAGACTGATGGTGGTTTTCTGTTTGAAATGAAACCAAATCAAGAGAAAAAGCCACACATTTACACACTCATGAACTGACTCTGACCAGAGTAAACAAGCTCCAGGCTCGTGCCACATCCACCTCCAGCTCTCGTACCTGTACCTGAAACTCTGAGATGTTTGCATGGCTACGTTACGTTACGGTACTGTAGCTAAAACGCAAAGATAGATTTCAAAGCTGCCTGATAAACATTTCACTTTAGACTCGTTGATTTTAAAACTAGATAAACGTGATAAAAGAGGATGATGATGTTGACCATAACACGGACATAATGGGTTTTTTTGTTGTTATGTTCTGCAGGTAAAACACCACAGAAGAAGAAATACATCGGCGTCAGAATGATGAGTCTCACTTCATCGTAAGTCCCAGCTTCCCCTCCTCTACTTCTGACATCCACAGAAAAATCATCTAAACTGCATTTAAACAGGAT